ATTAGGTAATTTGTTTGAGACTATTTGTTTGTTTAAATTTTGGTAAAATGTTAAGATTACTTTTCTACTAAATTGTCAATTTTCAGTGTAGTGGTTTTGTTGTTGTTTTTGTTAGATGCCATCAAGTTGGTACCGACCCATAGCGACCCTATGCACAACAGAACAAAACAATGCTTGATCCTGGTAGTAACAGTAAAATTATAGCAAATGACACCTAAATATAAGAAGCCACATTTTACTGGAATTATTCACATGAAACAATAAAGATTATGCAAATCACTTGAACAAACATTGCCCCTAAATTCAGATGTTTTCTCTACACAAATCTAAACAAGTGGCTATTTGGTCAGTTTGTTGCTGTTGGTTGGTACTGCCAGGTCAGTTTCAACTCATAGTGACCCTGTCTATGTACAACAGAATGAAACACTGCTCAGTTCTGTACCTTCTCACAATCACTGCTATATTTGAGCCATACCTGTAAAGACTGTGCCAATCCATCTTGTTGAGGGTCTTCCTCTTATGATGTGGCCCTCCCAGGGACTGGCCCCTCCAAAATACATGACATGAAGTCTTGCTGTCTTTGTTTTTAAGGAGCACTCTAGCTAACATTTGTTGTTCTTCTGGTAGTTCATGATGTATGCAATATTTTGTTTTCGAACACATAATTCAAGACTTCAGTTTTTCCTTATTATTCATTGTCCAGCTTTAATAAAAATATGAGGCAATTGAAAAGATCATGGCTTGGGTCAGGTTCACTTTGGTTCTCAAAGTGATATCCTTGTTTTATTTTAATGCTTGAATTAGATCGTTTGCAACATATTTGCCAAATTTTTTGATTTCCTTACTTTCGCTTCCTTGGGTGTTGATTGTGGATACAAGCAAAATGAAATCCTTGGCAACTTCAATCTTGTCTTCATTTATCATGACATCCACTTTTTGTTTTCTTTATATTGCGATATAATCCATACTGAAGACTTTAGTCTTTGATCTTCATCAGTGAGTGCTTCAGATCTTCTTCACTTTCAGCAAGCAAAGTTGTGACATCTGCATATCATAAATTATTAATGAGCCTGCTTCCAAAACTCGTTAGTTGTTGTTGTTACATGCCATTGAGTCAGTACTGACCCATAGCCACCCTATGCACAACAAAATGAATGTTGCTGGTTCGTGGGCCAACATCACAAGAGCTGCCATGCCAGAGCCTATTGCTGCCACCATTGTATCAATCCATCTCGTTGGAGATCTTCCTCTTTTTCTCCAACCCTCCACTTTACCGAACATGATATCATTCTCCAGTGACTGGTCCCTCCTGATAATATGTCCAAAGTATGAGATAAAGTCTAGCCATCCTGGCTTCCAAGGAGCACTCTGGCTGTACTTTTTCCAACACAGATATGTTTGTTCTTTTGCAGTCCCTGGCACTTTCAATATTCTCCTCCAACACCATAACTCAAAAGCATCA